AGAAAATAAAGGCATTGAAAATTGTGATTAATTTTCTTAACGCAAGAAACACTTTGTTAAAAAGTGAGAGAGCCAGTTTGCTATGGGGGTGAAGGTGCTGGTCTAGAAAACAGGAGATGGTGAGTTCTAGGCCTCCCTTCAGCATGAAAGCCGGCTTTGTCCGGTTGTTCTCTCTCTCTCAGCCCAGCCCACCTCACAGGGTTGTTATGGGGAAAATAAGCAGGAGAATTAGGTATGTTCACTGCCTTGAGTTATATATAAAAAAATATACTTCAGGCACTATATAGAGGCGAAATAAGATTATGTCTGCAGGTCACTTCATCAACCTCCACATCTACCACCTTTAGCCTCAGATAATAGTGCCCCTCTTGGAATTGTGAGGCAAAAACAGCGGACCCACACAGGTTGGATGTGGGACAAAGAGCTGCAATCCACCGTTTGGTCCCATATAGTGATTGAACATGTAGATTGTTAGTCTTTTTTTTTTTTTTTAACAAAAAAGGGCCTGTGGGTCTCTGGAAAAAAATTGATGATAATTCTGAAATTGTGTAATTCAGTTGCGGTAGGAAAGAATACATTTTTAAAATAAAAAAACTATTCCAAGCAAAAGAGCCATGGAAAATTTTCTGGAAAACTTCTGTGTTTTGTTAAAGCTTTCATTATGTAACACTATATGAGCATGGGTTGATGGTAGCGTAGTTTCATTAGCTTAAACGTTTTGTTACTTTTTCCTCTGGACGTTGTAAACCAATTCAAAATCTGTATCCTTTACAGAGTAAGAACATGATCCTTGATCAAGCATATAAATATATAACAGAAATGAAAAAGCAAAATGATGAACTCCTGTTGAACGGAGGAAACAATGAACAAGGTGAATAGATTACTGTATGGAGGTCTGTGACGTTTTATAGTCTCTCCTTATTTAACTGGGGCTGCTGCAGAAGGCATTTTAAAACATCGCCAAACAAAATAAGGTACTGTACTGTTTTCCTTCAGTGGCTGAATTATTTGAAACGGTCCCCACTTCAGCCTGCTACAAGGTGGTAAACTTTCTATTAATAGCACTGACAGATATTCGACTGTCGCTCCATATCTGTGTATCTAGAAGTAGTTAACAAAGGTGGCTTTAACTATTCTCATCACACTCTATATAAAATTGGCATACTGGTTTCTGTTGCACACACATTTAAAGATAAAGATTCTTTTCTAGCTGCTCCTCCTCTTCCTGTTTGTTTGTTTGTTATTAAAAGATAGCCCCTTTCCAGCAACTTCAGCACTGATTTTCCTAACCTTTATGGCTCAGGCTGTTATTTTCTTTAACCTAATAAAGGTAGTATTAATTATTTTAATAATATTATTTGCTCCTTTTTACTTCTTAACAACATCTGCCTTGGGGTGTTCTAAGGTTTTTGTTTTTGTTTTTGCAAAACAGTTTTTATATGAAAGATCATCGTTAAAAAAAAATAAGAAAGCAAGTCTAAATCTAACATGTGTAAGTTAAATCTGAGAATAACAGCAATTTAATTATTTTTTAAATTAAATTCTTCCCATTGTATTAGGATCTATATTTTCACCCAAATTGTATGCTAAGTATAGGATCAGTAGTGTTCCATTTATTAGACTTTGCTGCATATGGCCAGCATTTATGTAACCATTTTCTTCAATAGGAAAGTGCAATATGGATTTGAATAGTAATAATATGAAAGCAATAGAAATAGTTCCTTGCTAAGAAGAACTCTGCGCCTGCATTTTTTCACACATTAAAACAGGAATGAGGCACTGGATTGGACAGGAGAATGAATATAACCCCAACTTCATATAGCAGGTTGGGTGATAATCAGGGAAGGGCTCAGATTTTTTCCAGTTTTTTCTAATTGGCATTTAACTTTTTACAATTTTCTCTGCAGCTGAAGAAATAAAAAAACTCCGGAAGCAGCTGGATGAACTTCAGAAAGAAAATGGACGCTACATAGCATTATTGAAAGCGAATGACATTTGCCTTTATGATGATCCTACCATCCACTGGAAGGGGAATCTTAAAAATTCAAATGTTTCTATTGTAATCCCCAATGATCAGGCACAAAAGAAGAAAGAAAATCTGAAAAATACAAATATTTCTGTTGTTATCCCCAATGATCAACTGCAAAAGAATATCATCGTATATTCCAACGGCAGTCAGTTTGGTGGAAGTAACCAGGGGCCATCTGTCCAAGGAATAACTTTTAATATAGGACATAATTTACAGAAACAGACAGCTAATGTTGTTCCTGTCCAGAGGACTTGCAACATTCCTGCAACCATTTCTAGTATTTACTCAACAGCAGTCAAATCAGGTATTCAAACTTCAGTTTCTTCATTAGTATCAGGCCTACCAAATACAGACAAAAAAACCCTTGAGCAACCTACCTCTGAGAACAAGCAGGGCACGTCTACTTGTACTAGTGCTGCCAGTTCTGTGAATACCTCGCAGCTAGTCAGACTGCAGACTGAAAAACAGACTTCATCACAAGATGAGGATGACATCTCCAAACCTAAAAATAAACAAGAGAGTGTGAAGTTGATTGAGAAAGCAAGTGTACCAAGCCCCAGCCTTCCTTCCAGTGTTAGTGCAGATGTACTTCATTGTCAACTAGCAAATGTACCACCAGAAGCAGGTTCAGGAGGTGGGTCTCTAGGAAGCTCTGTAAGTTCTGCAGCTGACCCAACCTGTGCTGCATCTGTAAAGCAATCCATTGATGGAAAGCCATCCACAGAAAAGGTCTTCAAAAGCCTAGATGGTAGAGCTCCAGAAGGAGTAGAAGCCCTGAAGGCTGTAACCACATTGAATACAGTGCCTGCTACTACTGTAGAGAAATGGACTTTTCCCAGTTCTTCAGGTGTTGGCATTCCAGACTCAAAAAGCATGGGTAGTCTTATGAGAATCACTTCAGCTGGAAATACTCAAACTACATGGACTACATTACAGCTAGCTGGAAGCACTGTTCAGCCTCTAAACCATACTCCATCCAACATAACGACAACCCTTTTAAATGAGCCAATTAATGGTGCTAGTATAGCTTCCAGTCCAAACAAGATCATGGCCAATGCTGCTGGTTTAAATAATCCTCTGGTTCCAGATGAACACCCAGCTGACCAATTGGTTGTTACCTTGCCTTCCTATCCATCTTTACCTATTCAGCCACTAATTAGTAAGACGCAAACTAGAGCACAAATTGCAGGTAGCCTCCTTCCCCTGAATCCAGCAATGCAAGTGATTCAAGTATCTCAGCCAATAACCTCACCTGCCAATACATCGCCTATTAATCAGAACATTGTCATTCTCCAGCCTCCTAATGCTAATTCCTGTCCTCCAGTGCTGAGAGCTGAACTCCCAAATCAGACCGTTAGCCAACAGATTGTAATAATACAAACTGCTAATCCAAATCCCCTCTCCTTTTTCTCAACACCATCAGCTGTTAAAATACCTGTAAATGGAACAAATGGTGGCAATCTTATACAAAGTGCCTCTGGCCCTCATATGTTTGGTGGGAAACATCTTGTTCATATTTTACCAAGGCCCTCCTCTTCAACATCTTCTTGCCTGACACAAACATTTTCAGTTTCAATGTCTAACCAAAAGCTTCCACAGACCATTTCTTTAAATGGACAGTTATTTGCATTGAAGCCTATGAAGTCCTGTTCTGGAGATTCAGATCAAACCCCTATGCAAATTATTCAACCTACCACCAGTGAAGATCCAAATACCAACATTGCCCTCAATGCATTTGGTGCTTTAGCCAACCTCAATCAAAGCATATCACAGATGGCTGGCCAAAGCTGTCTACCGGTGTCTGGCAATCAGCCTACCAACCCCAAAACTGTCAGTAGCCAGACCGCACCATTAACTCCTGCTTTGCCACCAGCCACAATACCTTCCTCTTCAGCTGCTGAGAATTCTAGGTTAACCTGTACTTCAACTTCACTAGATGTTTCTCCCCCCAAAGCTGCTGGTTTGGGCTCAAAATGGTCTAATAAAAGTTCAAGTACTAAAAAAAGCTTAGTAGCCAGCAACAACCTTGCATGTCAAGTGGATCCTGGCAAAGAATGCAAAAAACTTGATAGGAGGAATGTGGCAACTGCATCTGAGCATTCAGGAAGTGACATATTGCTTGAAAATATGCCTGTTGTTTTGCAGTGCTTAGCTTTACCACAAGCAAACTGTAGAGTAACACCAAACAATGTGAATGCTTCTGATCCTCATCCCAAAGATACACTGAGAGCTGAACAGAATATGGACTCTACCCTGACACCTGACCTGAATGCAGCTGTAGTGCCTAGATCATTGTCCCTTGAGTCATCCTTACTGGGTCCATTTGAAGTAGTTCCTGCAATTTCCACAGACGGTGCTTCTCCATCTCTTCAGATGTGTAAATCTCAAACTGACTCAACAGCAAATTCTAAGTTATCAGAGCTGGCCAAGTGCATTCCCACCAGTCCTTTAATAGCTGCTGCTTCTGATTCTCAGGTGACAATTTCTCAAATTTCTGAGGCATCAGTATCAAATAGAGAAACAAATACAGAGAGCGTTCCCAGAACAGAGGTCTCGGAGATCTGCAGGATGGAACAAAATTGTTCCATAGTAATGCAAGCCTCAGATTTATTGGAAGAACAGGGCCTAACCAAAATGTTCTCAGAGTTTAGTAAAGTAGGAGAGGTTGTACAAAAATCCTTTTCAGTCCAAGTAGAGCACCCCAGTTTTTGTACGCAGAACACAAAATCAAATATCAACTCAAATGATAACTTGGGAAGGAAACGAGGACTCTTGCTGATGAATACCGAGGAAGAAAACCTTGCACAGTCTAATTCTTGCACCTCTGACCAGGAGGCAATCACTGCTAATAGGCAAGCAGACTCCCCCATGTCAACTAGTTCAGGTAGCAGCTGTGGCTTTTCTGTTGCATCCATGTTGCCAGATACATGTAGGGAAAATGTTTCTAACAGTACTTTGGTGAATACACATAGCACCTGCACATTTTCAGAGCAAACAGATATTGTAGCACTGGCTGCAAGAGCAATTTTTGACCAAGAGACTCTTACAAAAAACACAGGAACAGTGTCAGGAACTTCTGCTTCCAAGGGTAGTAAAGTGGCATCTCTAGGAAGAGACCAATCATTCAAAGCCCACCCAGTTAAAAACACCAATCAGATAGAAACAGTGCCAAACAATTTCAGTACCCAGAGTTCAGTGCAAATAAACATTGAGTTGTCTGCAGAGAAAAGCTGTTCAGTTGGTCTGGAAATGTCTGATTCAACTTTGCAGATTCCAACCCCACAACCTTCAAGCACCTCAAGCTTGAGTGTCAATAATCTCATACATCAAACCTGCATCATCCATCCTCCAGCAAGCTGCTCAGGTGTACCCTCATCTTCAGACCAAACAACTGTTTCTGTGTCTGGGACTCAGTCCATGCCTGCTAATTCATATATGACTCAGTCTCCAGGACATTCTCCAGGGTTGATGGCAGACTATCCCCCAGAACAGCTATCTGCTCTTCAGACTAGCACGATGCAAGGTCCGCAGATGTGTGAACCACACTTAAAGCAGCAAAGACAAGAAAGCCGCAAAGAATCAGCCAAACGTTCTGTTCAAGATGATCACCTGCTTTCTACACCAAAGAGGCAAAAACAGTGCCAGACAGCACCTCTACAGCTTGAAGAGATGGCTCTGTTGAATCAAACAGCTGATGATATTGAGGATCAAAATCAAATCCGTGTGAATCAGATTCCCCCCAACTCATCTAATCTTGCAGTGTCGGTGAGTAGTCAAGGGCATACTAATGGCCATAGTAGGTTATTTCAAGCCAGCAATTTTGTGTCACCTACTTTGAGACAAGCTGAAGTTCAGTGTAATTCTCATTTGCCTATCTTAGATCAAGCAGGACAACATCTGCAGCCTATCCAGCATGCACTCTCTCAAGGAATGGCTCATCTTCAAGCTAATCACCCATACATAAAGCCACAGCAACAGGCTGGACAGCTAAGAGAAAGGCATCAATTGTGTCAACTTCAGCATCATATTTCTCCTGCAGAAAGTTCTATACGCTCTCAAGCCCATATTGTCCATCACCAAAGAATATTGCACCAAGAGGTTCAGCTGCAGAAAAAGAGAAGCCTCATTCAAGCAACTCAGCCCACCACACTTGCTTTACAACAGAAGCATCATGGAAATGACCAGTCACGGTCAAAGAGCAGCCAGCCACATCCCCATCACTCCCAGATTCAACAGTTGCAGCAGCACTATCCTTCTTCCCAGCCTGAGAAGAACTGTGAGAACCCTTCTTTGAGCAGAACTCATAGCCATCCGCGGAGCCATCCAACTCAGGACATTCTGCATCAGCAGTCATCAGATGTGGGCAACAGACAGCCAGGTTCTGGAGTTCCTTCTGAACATGTCTCAGGACATGGCCAGATGCATAGACTGTTGACCTCTAGGGCTTTGGAGCAGCAAATAGTGTCTCAACCTAGTATTGTCACCAGACCAGATGTTGCCTGTCTCCCTCATAGGCAGGAAAGAAATAGAGTTAGTAGTTACTCTGCAGAGGCACTTATTGGGAAATCTTCATCTAATTCAGAACACAGGCTAGGAATATCCATGCAGAGCTTCAAAGTTTCAGATCATCTTGAAATGAGAAATTATGCCGATGTATCTAGGAATAAAGAACTGGTAATCCATAATACACAAAGTCGCATATCTGTAGATCATCCACTTGGTTCAGATATTCAGAGGCTCTCTGAGTGCCAGACATTTAAGGTGAATGCCATTAATCAACAGCCTACAGGTAATTTTGATGTGCAATCTTCAAGAAGTAATGAAATAGGTAACTCTCTCAGGGGTATGCAGACACAGAGTTTTCGACTTGCCCAAAATGCTGGACCACCAGTAGACAGACAAAAGAGGTTGTCTTATCAACCAGTTCAAAGCATTTCAGCAGGAAATCCTCTCCCTCCCCGAAGAGACAATGAGAATGCATGCCACCAAGGTTTCATGCAAAGTTTACTTATCCCACATCTTGGAGATCAAGCTAATGGAAGCCAAAGACCAATTTCAGAGCATCAGAGAAACCCACAGTGTGCTACTTCTTCAAATGTTGATTATAATTGTGCCCCAGCAAGAGAAAGTATTCACATGCGGAGGGAAAGTGATGATCAGAACAGAGAAAGTTGTGACATGTCTCTTGGTACTATTAATGGTAGGAACAATTCACTAACTATTCCCTTTTCAAGTTCTTCTGGAGATATTCAGGGCCGTAACTCAAGTCCCAATATTTCTATCCAGAAATCTAATTCCATGAGAATAACAGAGAGCCATGGAACAAAGGGTCACATAAATGCCTCAGCTTCTAGCAATGTACATGGAGCTACACGTCCTCTTCACTATGCACCAGTGTCTCGTGGGAATGCTGACCAAGTTCCTCCATCTGTTCGTCAAACCAATTCTTCAGCCACTGACCGGTCAAGACATCCTTTGCAGGATAATGGTGGCTCTAAAGTTCGCCAGCCGGAAAGGAATCGTTCTGCAAATCAAAGACATGGGAATGTGTTTGAACCTTCTCTTCCTCAACTTCCTTTATCTACTGGTGGAGGAATGATCCTTGGACGACAGCAACCTACCCTTGAAAAAAGGGGCAGCATTGTGCGATTCATGCCTGAAGGGCCACAGGTTTCTCATGACAGTACAGCTGCTGATCAGCACACTCTGTCTCAAAATTTTGGATTCTCTTTTATTCCAGAAAGTGGAATGAATCCCCCAGTAAATGCTAATACGTCGTTTATTCCACCAGTGACTCAACCCAATGCTACCCGAACAGCAGCCCTGATTCCAGTAGATCCTCAAAATACGTTGCCATCTTTCTATCCACCATATTCTCCTGCACATCCCACCCTGTCTAATGACATTTCAATTCCTTATTTTTCTAACCAAATGTTTTCTAATCCAAGTACAGAGAAGCCAAATGGTGGAGGCTTAAACAATAGATTTGGTTCTATTTTGTCACCTCCCAGACCAGTTGGCTTTGCTCAGCCAAGTTTTCCCCTTTTGACAGATATGCCTCCGATGCATGTGGCCAATTCATCCCACTTGTCCAATTTTAATTTGACTTCTTTATTCCCGGAAATAGCTACAGCTCTTCCTTCAGATGGATCAGCAATCTCACCACTGCTCTCAATAGCAAATACTTCTGGTTCTGACTCTTTGAAACAATCATCAAACCGGCCTGCCCATAACATAAGCCATATTCTAGGTCATGACTGCAGTTCAGCTGTATGAAAAGAATGGGAAGGGGGTGGACTTTTTTGAATGCCTGTGTTTATGTGTGTAATGCATATATACTTGTATAAATTTGGATTTACCATTTCTAAAGAGTCCGTTTACAACATCACTCTTGGAACTGTTCCATTTGCAGGTTATTCTTGGGCTTATACATAAACATTCATATTGCTAACTTAGAATCGTGATGCATCTCTAAGCGCAAACTAGTTGTTAAGACTTTAACCTGTTTCAACAGCTTATGATAATGTGACACTCCTCACCCCTGTATTGTTACCATCTCTCTGAAAAATGGGACTAGGGAAACAAACCCTCTTAAGAGGGCTCCTCTTCTTCCCCCCCCTTTTTTTTACATTTACCATTTTAAATTTCCTCCAGTAATAAGAACATTGCTGAGGCTGTAACAAAATGAACGGGAATGATAGCAGTCTGTAGGCAAACTTACTACATACATAAATGTAATTTTTTTGCTCATCTGGCCTTCCGGCCAAGTCAGAGGAACTATGATGAAAGTAAAAAGAGAATCGTGATGCTTTAGTGGAATGCTCTTGACAGTGTAAGTTGAGAATGGAAATAAAGAATGCCCCCCAAAATATTTGATTTAAATATTCCGAAACAGTGTGCCAAGCAACAAGGGAATATTTCTGTCAAGATCCAAAGACACATTTTATTGCACTTGATTTCTTTAAAACACCATTGTTTCCATTTGTATCTCCACACTGATGATGGTGATGATGGTATGATGGTATCAGTAAGTCATTGTCTTAAGGTATTATTGTGATGAACTGCTAATTGTTTACATTTCTTTCTATAAAGTCCACAAACCGATAAGTAGAGTTTTAATTGGCATAATGTTTCCTTTGCATTGAAGGAGATAACATACAAAGGGATTCTAAAATGGGGATATTAGTATCATTTACTAGTATTTAGTAAAGCACTCAGCTGAAGTTACTGTATATCTATAGCTATGTCTTGGAATTGCAATATTAGCCTTCAGCACATTAAGAGTGTTCTAGAACGCATCATCTCTTGTGTCAAGGGAACTCTGAAGTGGTTAACCAAAACAAAAGGGATAACAGTATGAAAAACCATAAACTCAGCTTTTTGGTTTTATGATAGTTTATCTTATAACTATATTGTATTGATATTTGGAACGTGAAGCAACATGGAGGTAGAGTTTCTAGAGCAGCCCTTTTTGGGGAGGTGAGTCAAAGACTTTCTGATAGCCGGAAGAAAGAAAGTCTTCCTACAATGACTGACCAGAGTTGTTTGCACCTAAACTGAATCCCCTGCAGTTAGAGCCTTTGCAAAACTTCCTAACAGATCAAAGAGATCATGCAAATAGGGCCAGATAGCTTATAGTTTTACTTTCTTTTCCCTCCCTCTTATTAGTTGGCTGTGCTGCTGATTGTTTACAGGAAACAAATGCCTATTTATCATATTCCAAGGATTGGGGGAAAAAAAATAGGTGCTCTTCTTAACCAATTTAAATGCGTAACAGGGAGAGTGGAAGAGTGGGAAGTGAATTGGCCAAGAATATATTGACCAGCAGAGAAATTCAGTTCCTTGAACAAACTTTCTATGCAAAAGTTTATGCTTTTATGATTTCTGAAGTTTTTCTGAAAAAGTACTGGAAGCATCTGATGCACAGATGAAAAGGAAATGCAAGTAAATGGCAGAGTATTTAACTAATAAGAGAAACTGTATTCCCTTCTGTTGAGTCAGTTTTTATCATGCTTTAGTGCATAGAGGAAGCCTAGATAGATAAGTGTGACATTCTGCACATTGGTTTGTGTTAACAACTTTTATGACAATAGGTGAAAAAAAAGTATTCAGACTTTCAGTATGTATTCATATAAATCAATAGCTACTCTCTCTCAGCATTTATCAGTTATTTCTTGCTTGGATTTTTGGTAGACATGAATATAGATTGCTACTAGTATTTTTCAAGCGTATTCTCATGCTAAAAATATATTTTTAACATATGTCTTAGTGTTGCCTGCAGTGGTAATATTGCTATTGCAGATATTACCTAAGTTTTGATTATTAACAGGGATTCTAGCAAAAGAGCATCAGATCCCTACTGAGATTCCATGCACGCTGCAAATCCTACTTTTTGTCCTTATTTCAGGTATTAGTGCCCTTCAGTTAAAAAAAAATATGGCATAAATATTTCACTTTGAAGAATGCCCTTAACATTTTTTAAATTATTAAAATGCTAATATTTTCTAACATTTGTCTTATACTAGCCCAGGCTTCTAACTTCAATACAAATTTCCCATTGTATGAGGTCATCAAGGTCTCATAAATTATGTGATATTATCACGTCTTATCGACACTGATGTGAGTAGAAGCTTCCTATATCCCAGGAAAGCACACGAAGCATTGGGGACTTCCGAGGTTTGTAAAATCCATAGGATGTCAGCTTTTGGATGGGTGTAGAATTGAATTTTTCTTATTGCTAAGATGCTATAGATGCAACAGTGGCTGAATCATCTAAAAATATGGAAGCACTAGGTTATATGGGTGAATATATGTAATGTTTTGGGTTTCTGTTGGGTATAGATCATCAAGCCTTGCTCTCTTAATGGGAACAGATAAAACTTGCTGTCACACAGCATACAGGTTTATAACTGTATGCTGTGCTGCTGTCCCTCATGAGAGTTTCCATGTGCACACAGAGGAATTATCTACAGTCCCCCTTGCTTTGAAATCAAGAAATGTATGGTGATTGTGCTACATTTTTCAGCACATTAAGAATGTATGCTGTTCTGCATTCTGTAATATTCTATCCACTACTTAAGGTCCTCCAGAATTTTTCAAGATCTAGAAGAGAAACTTGTAATAGCACTGATAAGGAAAGTTAATTATTATTGTAAATAAGTTTTTTTTATTTTGACATCTTTTTACAAATTGAATGCATTTGTATGTAAATACCTGCAACATTGATTTTTTAAAAAATTCTCAGATTTTTATTAAATGTAAAATTATATTGATTGTAAACACTGTATAGATATAAACAAAATAGTATTTTATTTTTAAAATGTACAGTTTGTGCACTATCATTTTGTGTTCTGCTTGTGCTTTGTAATTCTTCCCTTGCAGGAAAAACAAAAAGCAAACTAATGACCCTATATTTAAATACCCAGAGAAAGCTTATGAATGTGTAATTTTTAAAAAGGTAAACAACTTAAAAGTCGAGCAATTCTGTCTATGGTTTCCCACTAATTTGTACTATTTTCATCTGTCCACTTGCTCAGACATAGTGAGGACCTCAAAATGGCCATGCAGATTCTTCGACAGAACAGAGATTCTTGACATTGTAGGCAGTGGGTTCAGAGCACTGCCTTGGTTGCTATGCAAAGACCACTTCCAGTAGTCTGCTGATAGTTTTCTGATCTATTTATCAGCAAGTTGTTTAGGGATAGGAAAAGACAATTGGGGCTACCTTTTTGGAAAATGTGACTTGGAGTACAGTGTATTTCAGCTGTGCAATGCTTTGGCTTGATTCCAAAAAGGGACCTAGAACAGTGTTTTTCAAACTTGGCAACTTTAAGATGCTGGTTGGGGAATTCTGGGAGTTGAAGTCCACACATCTTAAAGTTGCCAAGTTTGAAAAACACTGGCGTGGAGCATGCTTAGGAAAAGATGCAGTTGCTTTGCTGAAGGGCTCCATTAGGACTCCTGCATTCTCTGAAGCACCCTTCTGGAATCAGATCCAGACCTACCAGGCATGCATAAGAGACAAGACCTCTGGATAGAAGAAACCTCCTTTGTTCTCAGATTTCCTTTAAATATACAGCAAGTTTAACATAGTAGCCCTGGAAAAGCCGACGCAGAATTCCAGTCTTTAATATTTTTTTTTTAAACCTAATTGAATTGATAGACAACTGGGCTGTGTCATTAGCTGCTAAATAATCACTAGGAGAACAAATATAGTTAAAAGTTTAACAAACACCTCTTTAAGTAATTCATGTTGATAATACTGAGACATGCTTTAATTCAGACTTAGCAAAGCATGGCACAAACATGTACACAGCATCCTCTGAACGTAATTTGGGGTTTAAACAATAGGGTAGAAGATAGGATCTTTTCCATCTTACCAACATCATAGTTATTTCACGGGAGTTTAAAAGAACAGCAAATAAGAGATTGTAGGTTATCAGAAAAGAATTCACCACTAGCAATAGTCAAGTGATAGATGACTAGCATGGGTAAGTAACATTGCAATACTGCACCTGGATTACCTGTTGGAGAACCAAACATCTAAGTTAAATGTTATAATGCATATGACAGTCTGATGGAGAGGAAAGCCACCTTCCAGGTGAGCAGGGAACATACGTTCTGTACAAAGAAGTGTATTCTAAGATACTGTCCTCCCTCTGAAAAGGTGGGTTCTGCTATTCACATTGTCTAAAGTACTGTAGGAAGAAAAGAGATGGAGTTCTTCAATGTGTCTTCCACTACAAAAAGAATGGGCTATTATCATTTTATGTAACAAACAGGACAGTTGCAAAATGCTTTACATAAGGACCTCAGGGATATTTCAGTACTGTATAAAGTAATTCTGACCAATCAAGCAACAGAACATAAGTAGCCAAAAGGACAATCATTCAGTGTGCACTTGGTGGAGAAACTACAATGTTGGGAATAAATTTTATCCATTATAAGAAAGTGAAGAATGGCTCAAGAGAGCCTGTGAACACCCCAGCTTGATTTGTAATCAACATAATTGTACAACATAATGTATTATACTATAGATCTGATCCAGCTGATGTCGAGGACATGATTTTTGCTGTGTTCAGGTTTTCCGATATAGGAATTGTTTATAAGAAGCTTCTTTCCAATGTGTACTTGGTGTTCTGTTCTGACTGCACCACAACAGTAAATTTCACTGTGAAGCATCAAATACTGTTCTTATCCCGTATCTCAGAAGACAGGTATCTTGTTTCTTGGCACAGAATCCAAGTCATCATCCAGGGTGAGCAGGCCCTAGAGCAAGGAAAATGTCACAGACACGTCAAGAGACTTATTTGTTTTCCTTGGTCAGCAAATAGAAGAAGAGGCAGGGATGGCTTATCAGTCTTCTAGTCAATCAGGATAGATCTAACAAATGTCATGTCCCTCCTAGAAATCTGAATACTAGCTGCGTTCCCCCTGCACATATATTTCAGCACTTCACCCAGGAAAAAGATTTGGTGATACGAATACCATATTGTGAGCTATCACTGTCTGCAGCAAATTGATGAGGCCAAGAATCGTGTGTGCAGTGACACAATGCAAACAGCACCATTTTTGTTCCTTTATGCCCAAGAACATTCTTGTTTCCCTGCACAAAACAAGACAGAAACTGCAGTTTGCCCTCTGGCCACAAGCAATTTGGTAGGCTAGTGTGAGTCAACTGTGCTGGGGAAAAAGCCACAGGAGTGTTGTCATAGTATGCCCCTTTGCACATTATTACTGTGACAGCATCTTGGACGCTCTCAGAAAGACAGATGGGGGGGGGCTGCAAGGAGTTGCCCATATTTGCTCTTTGGATCTTATTCTCAGGCAGCTTACATGAAAGATGGCATTCTTAGATATTATGCATATGTGCAAGATTGGCCTTTCTCCTTTAGGAAAGCTGTATGTAATTTAGAATAAGATGACTCATTACATCATCTCAACATCCAAAAACTAGAACTGTTCATTTCATACAAACAATAAGCTTGTAGGCCCAATCTGCTGGCTGGAGAGGTCTTTATAAATTCTATTTCCTATTCTGTACTAATCAGGTAAGACCTCAGATTGAAAGAGCTCCCCATCTCCATTTGTACAAACATAAAAATGAGTTAGTGACAGATAAGAAGGAAAAGGGATTTCTTAATGTTTAAGTGGGCATGCTCCATTGCAGGTTTTAAAGAGAACAGGTACATAGTTATAACTCTTTAAATGAAACCAACTTGCACCTATGTGAGTAAAAAATGCAATTATTTGTTCCTAGCAGCACAATTTTTGATTGTGTTATCTCTACTTTGGAGTGACACTGTCTAAATATTCTTCTGATATATTCATGGCAACTGAAGGGCAGAAGAGGACAGAAAAGGGCTACAGAAAACCTGGTAATAAAGAAAGGCTGATTGTTCTAGGTGCTTGCATCACTCACAGGGTGTGCACATGACTGTAGAAATGGCTATTAATCACAAGTAGTCCTCGTTTAGCAACCACAATTGGGACTGGCAACTTGGTTGTTAAGTGAAGTGGTCGCTAAGTGAAACTGCAACTGTGCTTACAATCTTACTTCAGCTTTCCTTAGCTTTACAGATCTGTGAAGGTTGTAAATGCTAGGATTGGTCACAAAGTTACTTTTTCATCACTGTCATAACTGCAAATGGTCACTAAACGAGGACTACCTGTACATACCATTTCCAAAGTGAAAGACAGTGCTGCAAATAATACAAGAGAAGGCTACTGCTTGAGAAATTCTTATGTACATCTGGTAGGTACTGTGCGAAATGGAATTCTGGGCTAATAGCACTTTTTGGTTTGATCCAGTACAAGTGGTCCTTACCAACTGCAACTGGGACTGGCAACTCTGTCACTAAGCTACGCGATCGTAAAGTGAAAAATCATGTGATCACACCTGACTTATGATGGCAGTTCATCAGTTCACTGAAATTATTAAGCAAATCAGCACAGGTCATTAAATGCAATGTCATGTGACTGTGACTTACAACCTCCTGCCGGCTTCCTGAATGACTCTGCTTGTCAGAAGCCAGTTGTGAAGGTTGCAAATGGCAATCACATTACTGTAGGACTCTATGACCATAGTTAATCCGTGCTGGTTGCCAAGTGCCTGTGATCACATGATTACAAGGATTCTGTGACGATTGACTTACGATTGAGGACCAGTCATAAATCTCGTTTTCCAGCACCATCATGACTTTGAATGGTCACTGAACAAGTGGTCAGTAAGCAGGACTATCTATGATTTTTCTTATTTAGGGCTAGCACCTATTTTCATTATAGAAAGCACACCATTCTCATTGCAAGAAAAGAAAAATTCCAAACTGTACAATGTTATACAGTGCAATAGGGCTAGGAATCTACTGGGCATGATTTACTTTAGGACATTATTTTGTTCTTAAGAAAAATCTCACCAAGAATGAGAAGAACAAGGCAGCAGCGGAGAGGAAGTGCCAGATATCATGGTCATCAAAGAATCCCAGAAGGATACACGGCCTATTTTTTTCACGAGATTGTGCTGGGGTTTCCTGGAGAAAATGATAAAACCAGTGAATTCTAGATGTTCCCCAAACAGAAAATGTAACCTCGTGTCCTATCTAGCCTTATATCTCTTGATGATTAAATGCTCTTCTCTACCTAACTATGAAAAGCACAGTAAGCAAACTCAGACTGTATCTGCCAACATAAAGAAGAAGCGAGTGGTGAAAAGAACAAAGCCATTGAATGAGAGGTTATTAAGGAGTCAGTGTTTAATATAAAATAAGTAGCTATATAATAAAATAAATATTAAAACAAATAAATATCAAATATAATTAGAACGGGTCTGATAGCACTAACTATGTAATGTCCATGACTTTCAAATACTAATGTTGGATAAGTCTGTGCAAATGTGCACAATTTTCTTCAGTGGCACTAATTAAAAAGGTCCCCTGTAATTGGATATGTTCAGATTCCACAATGGTTAGCCTTCCTGGCGGGCTGGCGATGGTAAAGGGCAACAATGTGCCTCCCACCTCTGGGGCAAGTGGTTGTGGAGATCAGCCCTAAGAACGTAACTGCCTTTCTTCTAGGGATGGGTCCTTTATAGCTTTTTTTTT